CCATGCCATACCATCATCCCCCATATCATCAGCCAGCCATGACCACTGCTTCACAACCAACCATCCAGCCAATGCCATGGACATCATTTCCTCAGCCTACATACAATCCTCTGACCCCTCTGGTTATGCAAAAGACCCTGCTCCCCGTGTTTCTTACGACTCCCCCTTCACAACCCCCCCAGACGTCTCCGTCTCTTAATTGCATGAGGAATAAAATAATGGCAACTTTGCCCTCAGCAAGAGCGGACTCCATTAAAGTCAAAGGTGAGCTATAGCAGTAATAATATTTCACAATATTACCGGGGTTTTTTTCCCGCCTTTTTTTGAGGAGATATGGAGCCGTTCTTTAAGCATAAGGGACTTATTTCAAAAATAGAAACAATCGTAATTTTTCCAGTAGTGTAGTTTATTTGCACACATACGAATCAAAACTTTTTTTGTTTTTTGCTCTTCTGTGGTGGTAATATTTGAAGATGCAGAGACAAATACCTGGATCTCCATTGCATCTGTCCCAGCAGCCTGTAATTACACACTCCACTCCAGAGGTGGCAGTGTTGTGCTCTCTTCACCACTGCCTTCCTGCCACACAAAAAAAATGGTGAGCCCTCTGGGTGGAGATTCAGCACATTCCAATATGTTATTGAATAAGTCAGTTATTGAATCAAAATAGAATAATAAACCTTAATTCAAAATTGAAATTTAGTTTTAGTTTATCATGTATGACTCACTCTTACTGCTTTTGTTTCTTCTCTCTTTTTACCTCTTCAGTCCTCCACAGTGATCTCTCTGTCTGTCAGGTTCTGGGATCTCTCTCAACTGCGATACCGAACCCTACAGCTTCAGTGTCAGTACATTGAAGATATAGATGCACAACAATTACACCAAATCATACCTCACCTTACAACCAAACCCACAGCCGCTCAACCACCCTCTAAATTTGAAGTGTTGTGTTCTAGCCAACATATGAGTGTAAAACTGCCACCTGGGCCAACATCTAGCCTCTTTGTACAGGGTGAGTTTGAGGTCTGTTCAGACAGCATACTCTGTTTTATCATTTCCCATGACAATGAGGCAATTATAGGTTGTAGTGAGGGAATGTGACATCTGTAAAATATTTTAATATCTTATATTTAAAAACAATAATAATAAAATTGGACTTTTTTTATAGCCCCTTCCAATGGGATAAAAACAGAAGCTGTTCCTATTTTGGAGGCCCCAAGTCATTGTGGGTACTCTGTAAAAAGGGGTCAAGATGGTACCATCAACATCCTCCTGCCTTACTCTTCCTGTCACATGACTCAGAAGGTCTGTGATGTCATTCGTTGTTATGCAAGATGTATTGCTACTCTGGTTTCATGAATATTTGTTTCTGTTAATCAGGATGGGCTGTACAGAATTATATTAAAATATCAGAAACCGAAAGGGCTCACAGTTGAGTCATTGCTGTCGTGTCAGGCTTTGTTCAGTCAAGGTACAGTATGAATCTTTCTTATGAGTGGATTCAAACATTGTGACTTTCTAAAAACTTTTTAAAAACTGTACATTTTTGTTGTGTAGAGTGTAACGTTGCACCTGATCAGCAGTTGGTCTGTGGATCTGGGGCGTTATCGTCATCAGAGTGCCATGACAGAGGCTGCTGCTATTCTACAGACACCCAATCATGTTATTACCCCATGGACGGTGAGCTGGACAATATTAAATTCAAACCGAAACATAAACCTGAATTCAAAATGTATTGTTTAGTATTTAACAATAAATCTCAAAGTAGTTATCCAAGTATGCTTACGATTATAAAGAAAATTTGGCAACACTTAAAACTTTTATATATAATGCATTCTAAAGGTATTCATAATGTACTTTAATTAGCGGTGTAATATTACATGTATTCGCCCCGAACCGTCATGCTATGGACGTCACGGTTCGGTTCATGCAGTCAGACGACAAATACAGTCAGTCATAGACGATCAAACCAGAAGGGGGCGCACGCGGTAAGAAACGAAGAACCGCCTGCTTGTTTTAAATCAGCAATTTGGGAAAGTTTCAGGTTCTAGAGTTGCTGCTGCATTGCAATCATTTTCCAAAATGTAATTTGTGTGGAATTTTTATGAAGTCTGTAAAGAGGTGAAAATACTGTACCAGGCAGATAAAGTTCGCAATGCTCGAAATCTAAGAAGACGATTATGTGGGATTCTATATGTATTTCTGAGGGGAAGTGACCATCTTCAGAAATGTTTTGATGGTATTTTCTTTTCCTCTTACCTCCATATAATGCCTATCAAAGTAGTGCTTATAAGCCAGCTGCTTTGTTAGCAGCAATAACCAAGGAAACTCTATATTATTTCTCTGTTATTATATATTATATTACTGTTATTATTCATGAGGTCATAGATTGCATTATAAGGTACAATAAAATGCATAATATATATTTTTATAATGCATTATATAGAGAGGCTACAAGTAAAGAATTACCTATTTTTTTTCCCGTAGTTTTGAAAAGCGGCTGATCCTTTAAACCACAAATAATAAACCTTAAATCAAAATGTAATCAGATTACTTGTATATGGTAAGAAGGCAAATTACAATTACAAAAAGTGGCTTTATAAGTCAATATATTGTTGCCTGTAGTAGCATTGGGACTCAAAAGGCTTTTTTTATTTTTTATTATACAAAACATGTTAAACTGATAGCTGTATTTTCTTCATTTTACAACATTGTATTTGTTTGTGTAAAGTTTGCCTTTCAAAAAATATTTCTCTGAATCAAACAAGAACATGTTCAAGAAACGTATGTGTAATTTTGTGTATCCCAATCAGAATGCACAATGGATCGGCATTTTGTTTTCTCGATTCACTCATCCGCCGCGGATCCGCCCCTATCCCCCGCCAGCCTCGTCACAGCTGGCGACAACCCTTGCACACCCCAAAAAGTTACTGCTGACTGGGCCCTCTTCAAGATTCCTCTGGATGAATGTGGGGCGCGCAGATATGTGGGTAGATTCATCGCAATAAGGTATGTATCTGAGAGCATGTGTGCGTGCAAGTCTAACTGAACGGTCTCCAGGAGGTGGGTAAAACGGTCATCTACATGGTGGAGATCCTGAATAGAGTGCAGCCCCTCAGTCTAAGTTACGGCACCATCACTAGAGAGTCGCCTGTAAGGTACACATGAAAGTACAGTTACACTGATACACAAAGAGCCAAGCAACATGCTGAGACTCCATGTTCCCTGCTGTCCCAGACTACTGGTTGAGTGTCGGTATTTACCTGGATCTGTGACAAGTGTGGGTTATCTGGTGAAAAGCCCCTCCCTCGGACCTTCTATCAAAGCTCAGGGGGTGTTTGGAGTTCAGCTCAGGATCGCAAAAGGTTTAAAACATTTTCTTCATATAAACCCTAGCTGAGTCTTCTCTTACAATTTGCTGAAAAATATAAACCATTTTTCCAAGTGAAATGTTACCATGTTCAAGAAAATCTAGGCATTTGGTGACTTTTGCAACCAAAAAAGTGATTTATAAGATTTTGTGCATTAACTACAGCCTCTTTTCATTCAGACGAGCACTACATTGATTTCTACCCACAATACCACCAGCCCCTGCATATGCTTCTGGGAAAACCCCTTTACCTGGAAGTGCGTCTGCTAAACCCTCCAGACCCCACTGCTATGCTGCTGGTGCATTACTGTGTTGCATATCCACGCTCTGCACAATCTGCCTGGATCCTTATTTATGATGGGTACAAGATGTTGTTTTAATTAAAACGGCATGAAAGCACTGACGTTTTTAGCATAGTTTTATGGGAACAAGCTGAAAATGTAAATGTTGCTTTAGCCCCCAAAAAATCCTCGATTAGCCTGTTTTATATACTGTCACTTTTAATTCAAGTTAATGCATCCTTGCTGCTGTTTTTTTTTTTTTTTTATCTTACTCCAAACTTTTGAATGGTAGAATGCGTTCAACAAAAATATTAAGCAGCACAGATAATGTTTCTTGAGCATCAAATCAGCATATTAGAATGATTTCTGAAGAATCATTTGACACATTCTTAAATATAATAATTATTTTAAATTGTAACCATTTCACAATATTACGATTTTTATTGTACTTTTTGATCATATAAATGCAGTCTTCGTGAGAATAAGATATTTTTTTGTTTGTTTTAAAAATCTTAATTTCAAACTTCTGACTTTAGGTGCCCAAATTTTCTTGACCAGAGCCCAACCCACAATCCTCCTGCTACACCTGCAGAGGCCCTGATCAATCACGTTAGACGATTCTCAGTCACTACATTCCAGTTCCTACCTGAAGATGCAGACCTGCAGACAGATGAGGAGGTAAAAGGCAGCTCTGGAAGTGCTTGGAAAAATAGTCATCTAGTCACAGAAAATTTTAACTGTGACAATGTCTTTTCCCCACAGATTTATTTTATGTGTTCAACAGAGGTTTGTCTGCCCTCAGATGGTCCATGTGTTGAGGGCTGCTTTGCAGGTGAGTGTCAGCCATTGTACTTCATTCCCTCAGTATGCAATTACAGCCATACATTTCTCTGACTCCTAATAGGTCTACCACACAGTCTTTATAGTCATTTGTACATTTTTCAGCTAAAGCACTTTGTCCTTCCAGATCCCTCTAATATGAAGCCCTGAGAGAAGGCTGATGAGCTGTATAAAGCCCAACTAATAAATTAGCATTCTTTTTGTTTGACAGATCTACAAAGTCACAACAGCAAATGCAAAACAAAGTCATTTTCTTATGCTGAAGTTTTGTTTAAAATGGCGTCCAATTAAATGGACTTTAGAATAAAAAAATAAATAAAATAAAACTTGGTGATATCTGATTGTTGCTTTCTGTGGAAGTTCAACTTGTGTGAAACGGCTATAAACATGTTTTGCAGTGACTCAAATAAACCTGTGGCCATCAGCTCCGCTGCTGCTTGACTCATTTCTGTATTACCGGATCCATCTATGAGTCTACATTGCATTCAGTTGTGCGCTGTATATTTTTCTTTGCTTTTAATTATTATTGATGTACAGCTATGACGCTTTCTTTTATATCACACATAACACTGTTCTTAAGCACTGCTGCATGAACAAATGACTTGGTTTAAACATATAGAAGAAAATATGCACTTGATAATTTATAATACTTGTGTTTAAAGGTAATTTCTGTACATTCACAAAGGTCTTGGTTGGGTAGGCACTCCGATCCTCCTGGAGGAAAGTGTGTGTTCAGCTGAAGGGTCTGTAGTGTTTTCTGCTGTGTGTGATCAGGTTGGAGCTCTGACTGAAGGCTTTACCACACACTTTACAAACATGTGGCTTCTCTCCTGCACAAAATATAAAATGTAACCTTGTCAAATGGGGAGCAATGAAAACATGCACTCAGTATCTGGGAAATGAAAAGCGCTATACTTTGAATAGAATGCTGGTCGGAACATATTACTGCCGATTATGGTGATTTTCTAAGGTTTTGATAATGGACAAATACTTTCCCCTCCATTTCATATATTCTAATGATTCAATCCTATTCAAAGTTTCAAATCGAAGTGAGTCTCACCGGTGTGTATGAAGGTGTGTTTCTTCATGTCGGATTTCTGGTGGAATCTCTTGCCACAGTACTGGCAGGGATATGGCCGTGTGTCCGAGTGGATCAGGAGGTGGGTGGACAGAGTGGATGAGCGTTTGAATACCTTCCCACATTCCTTACACTCAAATGTTCGTTCCTGAAATCCACAATGAATTTTTCACAATTTAAAAACAAATTTATAGTTTAACAAAATCAGCATACAAAAATGACAATGCTTAAGCAAAATTTTATACTGTATATATAGATATACTTTATTCATAAAAAATAATAGCTTACAAAAAAGGTAGAAACGCCTACTAAATATGAGAAACAAAGTTGGAACTGGCAGAGATAAAGGAAAACGAGAGAACAATGTACACTGACTAAACCGCTTACTAAGGCTGCAGTTACACTATTCAGCATCAGAGGGAGACATATAACAATCTTTTATCGTGAAGACACAAAAAACATCGCAAATTACCGGTCCTACCTTTATCCTACATGGCATCACAGGGTCCTTGCTGTCACAGAATACCAGAGACCGTCCATGATGACTACCATGCGATCTGTACACGTGAGACTCCAGACGAGCAAGAGATGAGAAAACCTAATGGAAAAATTACAAACAGAACCGTTTAAAGAACGACTCAGGAAGTGAAACGTTTTTCCCGTCATAGAAAGGCTTGAGGCCAAAATAAAGCGAAATACAGTCAAAGTGCTACTCAAGGAAAACGTTTTGTCTTGTGTTTCTTGGTGAGCGTCTGGTCAAGTAGTGGATTTGTATTTTAACAACAACAACAAAAAATCTTCCAAAAATGGCCTGAAGAAAGTTTACTTCAGTGTTTCATTTGTTTTTGTGCGTTACATAAGAATATAACATTGTCTTTTGAGTTTTTTAAATTTTTTTGGGACACAAAAAGGGCATACCTTGCCACACAAGCTGCAATGTTTTGGGCCCAAATCCCTCCGAGGACTCATCAGAGAACATTCCAGTGAACTGTCTCTGCTGTTGAGCCCTTGTATGTCTGCTACGTCTCTAGAGTTGACAGGTAACCAGTGCACTGGAGACGGAGGAGGGCCGTACCGGAAACCGGCTGGATCTGAAGAAACCCAGTGAAGAATAAGTATTAAACACATGAGAAGATCTGAACAGTTCAACACACATTTAATGCTGCAAAAGCAAAGATGTGTAGTTTTTTTTGCCCATGGCTATACAAAAGTTTGTGAAGTTTTTTGCCCATGGCTACACAAAAAATAAAAAGGGATCCCCAACACTACCTCATGCATTGAAAATTATTTTTGTTGATTAACGTACCTGTTTTCCAGTCATTATTGAGACTGCTGTGTGTACTGTTTTGCTGCATGATTGGAGAATATGGTTGTATCTCTTGGCCTGATTCCTCTGGTAGTGTAGCCACTTTTATGGGGACAGACCAACCCACCAGGCCTAGATAGGGCACGTCAGCGATGGGAAGAGAGGAACGAAAGCCTCCCTTCCTGCTCTTTTTCACCAGAAATGAACGAGGCATAATGAAAAAAGAAAGCTAGAACCAGCAACAGGGATGATCGTCCTGCAGGACCTAAAATGGAGAGAGGAAAATATGACAACCATATACATAGGGACAACCATATTTAATATGATGCTTATTAAATCTCAGCATGATATATGTATTGATTTAAATGAGAATTGAATGTTGTGCACTAGTAACCAAATTTTGATTTATGCTTATAATTAAAAAAAAATTTCAGTAAGGGAAGCACAGATTCTCTTAAGAGTCTAAAATAATTTTTCCTATATCTCTCTGCTCTGATTCAGCATCAGTGACTCCAAATGTTGCAGCCTTTGTGAGAGCAAAAAAAGCATTTCCCAAATAAAAGGATAAAGCTTTTTATTTTTTGGATAATAAATGAAATACGAACTCAGGACACTAAACGGAAATGTGTTCTCATCTTGCAAGTCAGAGATTCTCAGAGCAAGTCCATGGCAGCGTATTCCTGTTGAAACACTAAAATCCCCATTATCACTTTATGAAATGAATTAGATATTACTTTGAGTTTCAGTCGAGATGAACTGTATCCAAATATGAATGTAAAAATTTCTATAGCACCTGCTATGTTATATCTATTCTGTTTTATGATGTCATGTTATAAATAGGTCTATGTTTAAAAAAAATAGATTTAGATTTAAATATTGTGGCAATTTCCAAAATAAATTACTTTAATGGCAATATCTGGTGTACAGAAAAATATATATTTAACTGCATAATAAAAAATGTCAATATATTAAGTGAAGGTCTGTGTAACGCAATGTAGTGCTTTTAAATAAGAGTTCACTAAATGCTTAACGCACTATTTAAGTGAAATTTAAACAGTGATGATTGTTTCAGTAAATCTTGGTTGTATTGATTATCCTTCAACATTTAGTCATGAGACTGATGAAAGACTAATATATGAAATTCAAAATATTAACTCTATAATCTTAAACTTTCGTGTTTACTGGGGCAAAAGCAGACTATAGAACTTAAAACAAATATTGAATTTGTATAAAGTTTGAAAAATAAAAAGCAAATCTAGCCGTTACTTCAAAGAATTGAGACTACAGAAGTGTTTTCAAATAGATTTTTCGTCTATTTTTGTTTTACCACAGACAGAAAATCTTAGGGTGACATCTTACGTTGTTGATAAAAAAATATATATTTTCAAATCACAGATGTATTAAAGGTACAATTTTGTGCAAAATTTTGTACAATTTTCTGGAATGGCAAGTACAAATGAGCGATATATTTAAAAAAAAAAAAAAATCCCCATAAATGTCTTTACAATTTGTGTGATTACTTCAAATGATAATTTTTAAATTTCTCCAGACCCATTTGTGATCTTGTTGATAGTAATTGAATGTGGAAAGAGGATCTTCAGGATGAAGACTTTGATATTACATAATGTTTAAAAATGTTTCATAAATATCTGACAGTGTGTGTGTGTAGGGACACAAAACGTATCATAAAAAAGTATATTTAATCACTTCCTTCAGGATTGTTTCAAAGATCCATATTTTATTTTTAGGTGTAATATATAATTTAATCTATATTAAGTATTTAGTTACATGCTGTGAGGACTGGTGGTATAAGTGAAAATCACATGGTAAAACCTAAACCTATTTTCAAAACTAATGGCAGTTAACTGATCTGTATCGGTTCACTGCCACTAGTTCTATACGAACTTAATCAATTTTTTAAATAAATTGCTAGAACTTACCAGTAAATGCGCCCAGGGCCGGCCAATAGTTTCACGAGGTGTTCCTATAATAAAATGCACAGTAAATGCAGTATAATTCTGACTGTATTTACTGCAAGCAGATTAGGCCGAGCTACGCTGTCGTGTCTCAGTCACTAGCAGTAATAAATCACTGAGGACAGGTGCGCGTTCCTTAAAGCGCAGCAAAACTGAAACTTCGGTAACGCGCGCTCACAGCACCGGCCGACCACAGACGCGTCAGTTTCCGCCGCGCGCTCTGACTCGAGCTGTTACAAACCAGACTTATGCTAACCGTAACTGCTGCTGCAGTGCGAAGGAAAACTAGCAGCAAAATAAATCAGGGTGGTCTAATCGAAAAGACAGCCTTTTCTGTTGGATATAGGCTACATCTGAAGCACTTATTTCGTTTTGCTGTGGATGTGACTAATGAAAACCACTGTGGTGATTTTAAGTTCTCATTGCAAAAATGGCTGCAGTAGTCATTCTTTGCCAATGTAAACCATAGGTAGGCCTTACTGTGATATGGTTTTGAAGGTGTGATTGTGACACATCATTCTAACTCAGATTTGCTTTTGTCCCTGAAGGTATTAAACAGTCACAGACCCCATGCAGACAGATGAAGAAGGGAGAAAGAGAAGGAAAAGTGATGAGACTGTAGAAAGACTGATGAACCGTGAGTGTGGTTGTGACTTTGAGGTGCAACAAGACTTAGCTCTTTTGCCCATGCCTTAAAACCATATAAATAACTGACATTAAGTCCTCACATTTAGGCCAACCAACATGACATTTACACTGTAGGAATGACAAATAGGATGAAACGCTCAGTTTGGTTTGTCTAACAGCTGCAGTTTGCAGGTTTATAGGTTTAGCACAAAATTTGTATCAAATGGTACAAAGCACCATTCTGAGTTTTAAAAAACAACTTTTTTCCACTTTAACACATCTAGAAATTTGAGATGAGAAACGAAGAAATGAAAATTCTGCCATTATTTACTCATCCTAAAGTTTGAAGAATGTGGGAAACCAAACACTTGCTGGTCCCCACTGACTTCCATAGTATATGGAAAAAATACGGAAGTCAATGGGAACCAGCAACTGTTTGGTTACCCACTTTCTTCAGAATATCTTCTTTTGTGTTCAACAGAAGAAAGAAATTCATACAGGTTTGGAAGAACTTGAGGGTGAGAAAATGATGACAGAATTTTCGTTTTTGGGTGAACTATCCCTTTAAATTTGATTTATTCAATAAGAAACAAGTTAATAAACATAACATAAGGTCACAAGACCAGCTGAATTTCTAACCAAAAACAATTACTTTTTCATGATGCTATACATCCATGCAGAGCTTCGAAGGAACAATTTTATCAAAATGAACATTCCGTCATCATTTACTTACCATCTGTACGACTTTAGTAGTTCTGTAAAACAAAATAAGATATTTTGAAAAATGTCTGTGTTTTTTGTCCATACAATGAAAGTCAACGGGCTCCAATGTTGTTAGGACTCCAAAACATCTTCTGTTACACTCTGGTGGTTCTTCAGTCATTTTAGACTGAAAAATTGTACATTTTGATTTTCAATATTTATGTATGTATTTATATATACATACTGGGTTGCTATATATTCTTTTCTAATATTTCTGTTATTTTATATAGACATAAATGCTGCATAATGTTTCTAGTACCATGAATATTATCTGTGAATATTGTCTAGTAGGCCTACCATTCACCATTTTAGTACCATTTTCATTTAGCAGATGCTTTTATCCAAAGCGACTTACAAATTAGGACAATAGAAGCAAACAAAACTAACAAAAGAGTAATAATATGTAAGTGCTGTGACAAGTCTCGGTTAGTCTAATGCAGTAAACGTTAAGGTTTTTAATTTTTTTGTATAATAGATAAAAAGAAAACAAGTAGATAAAATAGAAATAGAATAGAGAACAATAGTATTAGAGGGTCAGTTTTTTTTATAATAAATAAAAATAAATCAAGTAGATAGTATAGAAAAGGAATAGAGAATGCTAGTGTTAGAGGGTCTTTTTTTTTTTAATAAAAAGAAAACAAATAGTCAGAATAGAAATAGAATAGAGAGTGCTTGTGTTAAAGGGTCAAGGGTAGATGGAAGAAATGTGTTTTTAGCAGTTTCTTGAAGAAGGACATTCCACCAGGAGGGAATAGTTAAAGGAACACTCCACTATTTTTGAAAATAGGCTAATTTTCCAACTCCCCTAGAGTTAAACAGTTGAGTTTTACCGTTTTCGAATCCATTTAGCCGATCTCCGGGTCTGGCGGTAGCACTTTTAGCTGTAGCTTAGCATAGATCATTGAATCTGATTAGACCGTTAGCATCTCGCTCAAAAAAGACCAAAGAGTTTCTATATTTTTCCTATTTAAAACGTGACTCTTCTGTAGTTACATCGTGTACTAAAACCGACAGAAAATGAAAAGTTGCGATTTTCTAGGCCGATATGGCTAGGAACTATACTCTCATTCCGGGTGCAGCAGGCGCAATGATATTACGATGTAACTACAGAGGAGTCAAGTTTTAAATAGGAAAAATATAGAAACTCTTTGGTCATTTTTGAGCGAGATGCTAACAGTCTAATCAGATTCAATGATCTATGCTAAGCTAAAGCTAAAAGTGCTACCGCCAGACCCGGAGATCGGCTGAATGGATTCGAAAACGGTAAAACTCAACTGTTTAACTCTAGGGGAGTTGGAAAATGAGCCTATTTTCAAAAATAGTGGAGTGTTCCTTTAAGGTAAAAGTCTGTGAAAGTGATTTTGTGCCTCTTTGAGATGGCACTATAATGTGCCGTTCACTTGCAGAACGCAAGCTTCTAGAGGGCACATACTGTATATGTCTGAAGTAGTGAATTTAGGTAAATGTTTCTAAATGAGGTACATTTTTCTTTAAAATATTAAAGAATAAATATTATTGAAATAAAATACAGTCCACTCATTTCTTTTAAGTTACATGTATAGTCTTAAGCCTGTTTTGACCAACAAGGTGAGTAAATGTTTGAAGAATTTTTGAATTTTCATCCCTTTAACATATAAAACTCTTTAATGCAAAATAATACCTACATGACACCAAAATTTGAACTTTGCAAATGTATAGCATAAATGTTTATTCATTTTTTAAATACATTTTATCTTCAAATACGGAACACTGGATCATCATTTGATAACATTGCCATTTATATATCTTTAGTACTGTCATTCTTAATAACACATCAGTAAAACTGTAGGAGAGAGAGGATGTGGTCTGATGGGTGTAATGTGGAGACTACTGGACATTTACGGACTGTGGAGGTAAGGCAGCTGTTGGAGCACTATAGAGGAGGTGACGTCACATCAGCCTCTGTGTTATGACCTCATGCCCTCACTGGCCATTTTTTTTAACATGACTACACCTGAAAGCGTAATGTGATGTGTATGAAATATTGACCTCCGCTTTTTGGGTTGCTGTTTTGATACACACAGTGTTTGAGATAGCAGTCAAACTATATTTGAATGAAAACATTGAATACAGTAGCACATTTTCTGTATGCTTGTAACACTTGAGTGACATTACATGCGCTATATACACATATTATTTTCCCCAATTTATGCATTCATCTCCACATTTACTTATCTTGAAGAAAATGGAAGACAAAAAAAAAAACAGTTCTGTTTGTAATGATTTAGTATACTGCAATATAAAAAATATCCTGATAATAAGAGGCATTTTAATACAATAAAGTGTTCTTTTGAACAGTGATGTTCTTCAATCTCATGCATAAAAGTGTACATTTATGCATTTTGTTTTAGTTAGGTCGTCTTCTGTAATGATGACATACCTTTCATGAAACCAATCAGGGTTTCATTATGATCACTGCTTACATGGCAACCTTCAAACAACAACAACAACAAAAGTGATTAAAACTTTTGTATACAAGAGATAAAAACTGGCATGAAAGATGCTACAAAAAAAGAATAAATAAATAAATAATAAAATAAAATTCTCTGATAACAGTATATAAAAGTATTCAGTTTCAACTGTAACAGTGACATAGTGTTTCTGAGATATGTGATAGACTTTATGCAGGGAAAACTGACTCATAATACCACAAAGTACTGATTTTATTATCACCGTAACATTTTTCATTCATCTTTTTTTCCCTTTTCTTCCACTGATTAGAACATAATTCAGCCATTCTGAAGGTGATTGAAATTAGAGCTCAATGTGAGACAGAAATGTGTTTGACCATATTAGCCACCCGCTGACAATCTAAAAATGGTATGTTCCTGCTCAGGTAACAATAAATGGGCTTGCCAAAGCCTTTCCAATAAGACTGACTTCTTGTTTTAAACAAAATCAACTCACCAAACAAGTTAAGTTAATTTCAAAACAGCCATGTCTGATTTCCTATTAGCAAATATTCTTTAGAAGCTAAAACTCACACCACAAAACCGTTGTGTTTTGTAATCGAGTTGTGAGGAAAGCTTCCTTCGACTATTTGAAATCCAACAGTCCCAAACCAGAACAAATGTTGGTACAACAACTGCTTGACCAAGTTTTCCGGCTTCAGGGACCCTCTGAGGTTTCTCTTTAAAGACCAGCAAGAAATGAAAGGTGCAAAGCAACTTCCTTTACTTGCTGCTTTTCTTGTAAAGAACAGAGTTTATAAAAGGTACACACTTCTGAAACTGGTTTTGTGGATGGTTTTAAATGTTACAGAGGTCACTGGGGAACAGGAAGGATGTTCTAAATCAGAGTAAAGCCCTAGTAGAGACGATGCTAGAGAGGTTTAGTCTTTTAGTTTTGTAGTGCAATATGAAACAATATTAAAGGGGTCCTATTATGCTTTTTCACTTTTTCAACTTTAGTTAGTCTGTAATGTTGCTGTTTGAGCATAAAAAAGATCTGCAAAGTTACAAAGCTCAAAGTCGATTTCAAAAGGAGATATTTTGTTTAACAGAAATCACTTTTCAAAAACTACAACGAACGACTCGTTTGGACTACAACGCACATTTTCCGGGATTTGTGATATCACAAAGATCGACGAATGGGACGAGACCTGGTTGAGCTGCA